ACCAGGAACAACCGGGCGGGGAACAGCCCCACCAGGGACAGCCTCACCAGGGACAGCCTCACCAGGGACAGCCCCACCAGGAACAGCCCCACCAGGAACAGCCCCACCAGGAACAGCCCCACCAGGAAAACCGGGCTGGGAACAGCCCCACAAGGGACAGCCCCATCAGGGACAGCCCCACCAGGGACAGCCCCACCAGGAACAGCCGGGCTGGGAACAGCCCCACCAGGAACAGCCCCACCAGGAACAGCCCCACCAGGAACAGGCGGGCTGGGAACAGCCCCACCAGGAACAGCCGGGCAGGGACAGCCCCACCAGGGACAGCCCCACCAGGGACAGCCCCACCAGGAACAGGCAGGCAGGGAACAGCCCCAGCCCAGGACAGGCGGGCAGGGAACAACCAGGCTGGGAACAGCCCCACCAGGAACAGCCGGGCTGGGAACAACTGGGCTGGGAACAGCCTCAGCCAGGAACAGTTGGGCATGGAACAGCTGGACTGGGAACAACCCCACCAGGACAGCCAGGCTGGGAACAGCAGGCTGGGAACAGCCAGGCATGGAACAACCCCACCAGGGATAGCCGGGCTGGGAACAGCCGGGCATGAACAGCTGGGCATGGAACAACCCGAGCAGGAACAGCTCAGCCAGGAACAGCCGGGCAGGGCACTCCCAGCACAGACCCAGGAGAGCTCCCACTCCTGATAAAAACCCTGGAGAGCTCCTGCCCCTGATCCGATCCCAGGAGAGCTCCTGATCAGATCCCAGGAGAGCTCCTGCCCCTGATCTGATCCCAGGAGAGCTCCTGATCCAATCCCAGAAGAGTTCCCACTCCTGATCCAATCCCAGGAGAGCTCCTGCCCCTGATCTGATCCCAGGAGAGCTCCCACTCCTGATCTGATCCCAGGAGAGCTCCTGCCCCTGATCAGATCCCAGGAGAGCTCCTGATCCGATCCCAGGAGAGCTCCTGCCCCTGATCTGATCCCAGGAGAGCTCCTGCCCCTGATCCGATCCCAGGAGAGCTCCCACTCCTGATCCGATCCCAGGAGAGCTCCTGCCCCTGATCTGATCCCAGGAGAGCTCCTGCCCCTGATCTGATCCCAGGAGAGCTCCTGATCCAATCCCAGAAGAGTTCCCACTCCTGATCCAATATCCCAGGAGAGCTCCTGATCAGATCCCAGGAGAGCTCCTGCCCCTGATCCGATCCCAGGAGAGCTCCCACTCCTCTGATGATCCCAGGAGAGCTCCTGATCAGATCCCAGGAGAGCTCCCACTCCTGCCAGGGGTCCCAGCCTGCTCCCACTCCCAGCACAGCCCCAGGAGAGCCCCCACTCCCAGAACCCCCCTGGGCACCTCAATCCCAGCACAATCCCGCAATCCCAGCGGGGCTGGGGCCGCAAAGAACCCTCGGATCCCCCCCACAGCGAGCAGGGCCATCCCCCCGCTGTCCCCGGCTGTCCCCTGGGGCACCTGTTGGTGACGAAGCTGTTGCTGACGCTCTCCACGTCGCCCAGGCCGGAGCTGCGGAGCAGGCGGTTCTTGCTGGTGTCCAGGGGCAGCAGCAGGTAGCTCATCCTGTTGGCGTAGTGGATGGCCTGGCTGAACACCGTGCTCTCCTCCTTCTGGATCAGCTCCTGCTGCTTCTCCCGGCTCATGGTGGGCCACAGCCGCAGCTGCTCCGACGCGATCTCCAGAGCGGATTTGGCCTCCTGAGGCTCCTCCGGGCTCTCCTGGGGACGGGGAGGAGATGGGGGGTGTCTGCAGGGATCCCACTGGGATCTCCCAGAACTGGGGGGCAGCTGGAATGGAATTCCCAGAGCAGCTGGGGCTGGCCCTGGATCCCGGGAATGGCCAAGGAAAGCTTGGAGCAGCCTGGGATGGTGGGATTGGAATGGGGTGGGATTGAAGGTCCCTGGATCCCATCCCAAACCATTCTGGCATTTGGGAGGCTCTGAATCCATCCCGAGGGATTTTTCTGGAAGTTGGGGCTGGAAAAGGGAAGGGAGACCCTTCCTGCAGTGCCGAGATTCCCAGGGAAACCCCTGGATCCCAAAATTCCTTCCTGGAGCGGAGCCGGGGCAGGGCTGGAGAGAGGGAATGGAGGGAATTCCCTGGGCAAGGGGAGATGGGGCTGGGATGTTGGCAATTGGCAATTGGGAATTGCTGGCTGGGCTGGAATTGCCAGAGCAGCTGGGGCTGCCCCTGCATCCCTGGCAGTGGCCAAGGCCAGGCTGGAGCCTGGGGCTGGGAGCAGCCTGGGCCAGTGGGAGGTGTCCCTGCCATGGCAGGGGGGCACTGGGGGGCTCGGGGGGTCTATCCCAAACCATCCCGGGATTCTGTAACTCCATGGGGAGCCCCAGCTCTCCTGGGTCCCCTCTCACCTGCTCCGTGTGGTTCTCCTCGGCGCTGTCCAGGTACAGGGCCCGGATGTGGTTCTGGACGTCGCAGTAGAACATGGCCTCCCAGAACTGGATGTTGGTCCACACCACGTGCTCCTGCACGCAGCTGTAGGCGAACTGGGTGATGCCAGGGCTCAGTTTCTGTGCAGGGAGGTGGAAAAGTCCATCTGAACATCTGAACACGGCCTCTGCGCCCAGCTCTCCGCTCGGCTATCCCTGCTCCTCCAGCCAGCCACCGGGAATGGCCTGGACAGGCAGGGCTCAGCACCACAGCTCCTGCAGCGTTCCCTGAAAATCCTCCTGCTCAGAGCCCACCCAGAGCCCCGAGGCTCCCCCCAGCCCATGGGATCCATCCAGAGCCACCCCCAGCCCATGGGGTCCATCCCAGACCCACCCCCAGCCCATGGGATCCATCCAGAGCCACCCCCAGCCCATGGGATCCATCCCAGAGCCAC